GTGGGAACATGGCTTGGAGTTAGACTTGGAATGCTGAATCTGGGCAGGCAGTCATCCAATATGACAGAGACAGTTAATTTTTAGTTGTTTTTGTATTTTTGTAACAGAAAAAGAGGGTGAAACAAGGCAAATTTGGGGATCCACCCCCTCCGAAAGCCAAAGGTCCAGGGGAAGGACCATGGCCACAGGGGCAGGCTCCTCCAGGGTTCCCTTATGGGAAAGAGTATTGGCTGGGACCTGTAGGTGCCCAGCCTGCCAGGAGAATTGGATAGGGTAGGACTGGATGGTAGTGGCCCATCAGGCCTGCCAGGGAGTGAGCTGTTGAGGCTCATGGTAGTACTCCAAGTTTTTGTGGTCAGTAAAGACCACAGTCAGTTCAACAGGGGAGAGCAGATAGGGGCAGAAAGCTTTGAGGGTGCAGATGACAGCAAGCATCTCAAGGTCATAGACCTGGTAGTGCTGTTTGGCTCCAACCAAGGACTGCAAAAGGTAGGAACATGGATGCCACTCATTGTTGGCTCCTTTCTGTGCGAGTACTGCACCAGTTCCGAGTTTTGAAGCATCTGTAAAGAGTGTGAAGGGCTTTGAGAAGTCAGGGATAGTGAGGACTGGAGAGGAGCATAACAAAGATTTTAGCTTTTTGAATGTGGCATCATGTTCTGGAGTCCACTGGTAGGAAACCCCTTTCTTGGTGAGGTCATGAAGGGGTCTGGCAACACTTGAGAAGGAAGGGATGAACCTTTGGTAGAAATTGCAGAACCCAAGGAAATGATGGAGCCCTGTAAGATTGTCAGGGGCTTCCCAAGTACTGATGGTGTCAGTCTTCATTGGCGAAGTCTCCATATGCCCCTTTCCTATGATCATCCCAAGGAATTCAATTTCTTTGGCCTCAAAAACACACTTGCTGATCTTGAGGCGCAGTCCTTCCTTTTCACAGATCTTGAGGAACTTGCAAACATGAGCACGAAGCTCTTCCTTTGTTTTGGCATGGACAGCGATGTCATCCATGTAGCCTACCTGTTTTCCTCTTTGAGATTCGGAGGTTTTATCCATATATCTCTGGAAGGAAGGGGGTGAGTTGCACTGGCCAAAGAACATTACTGTAGGTTCAAACAACCCTCTTGGTGTGATAAATGCTTCTTTCCATTCGTCACCTTCCTTGACCTGGAGGTTGGTGAAACCCCAGTGGATATCAAACTTGGCATAGTATTTTGATTCAACCAGTTCATCAAACAGAGCCTGTGCATTAGGCAGTGGATGCGTGTCAGGTATCATGAAGGAATTCAGGTAGTGGTAATCTTGAATTAACTGCTTCTTCCCATCTTTCTTTGTGACAAAAAACACCAGAGCTACTTGTGGTGAGGTTGATGGTCAAATTTTCTTGCATTTAAGGTTTTCATCCAAGAACTCATCTAAAACTTTAAGTTTGTCAGGGGACATAGGGTATACCATCACTTTCTTTGGCTTGAAGTCTTCATGGAGTCTAATCTCGTGATCTAATCCTGGCTGATGTGCTGGGAGCGGGATATCATCTTCTGTGAACACCTTAGCAAATTCTTGATATATCTCAGGAAGCTTGACTTGCTCTTTTCCACTTGCCAAGGTGGCCTCAAGTTCTGTGGATAAAGTAGTTTTGTTAATTTTTACCTTGGGGGTTTCACCTGATTCCTGTTTTACCACTTCCAGGGACAGACCAGAAGATTCCTTCTTACTGTCCATGTCCAAAGACACTACCTGTTTAATGAAATAGTCAGATCCTTCAGGATACACATACCCATCATCCCAGCACATAATTTTGCCAGTTTCCCAGTTCATTCTTGGTTTGAACTCCTTGAGGAATGGCATCCTGAGAAGGACATGTTCTTTTCTGACAAGAGGGCCCATGTAACACTTGACTCATACAGTGTGCTCCTTGATTTCCATCTTCAAGGTAACTTTTCAGGTTACCCACTCCACATCTTTTCCAGTAAATGAGGTGGTCTTGAACTTGCTCTTGACTTGATAAGTCAGGATCCCAAGTTTTTGTACCATCTGTTCTGAGATGAGGGAAACTTCAGTGCCTGAGTCAATACAGGCCCATATTCCTGCCTTGAAGTCCAGTAAAATGACAAGTCCCAGAGGAGAACAAATTCACATATTCGATTCATCATCTATAGAAGTACATTTAGTGGACAAAATCGAAACAGGACTGACTGATGCAGGAGTTTCATCAGTCCCTTTTAAAAACCCAACAACTTTCATTCCTCTGCATTCACTTCACAATCTCCAACATAAGCAGTCTTTGTTCCATCCTCCGAGAGGACTATGTGGACATTTGAAAGTTGGGTTTTCACTTTGACTTTGCAGTCACACTTGAAGTGACCTTTGGCTCCACAATTGAAGCATTTAACTTCTGAACTAGAACGTCTAACATTCCATTTACATTTGTTGACATCCATCACATCAGGATCTTGGGAACCTCTGTGGTAATGAATGAACTTTCTTTCATACCAAGATTCCTTCCCTTCTAGGATGTGCTTCATAGTGATTGCAGTTCAGGCTTCTCCCACACACTGTATCCACTCTACAACCATGGAAGGGGCATGTCCAGAATTAAGAACCCAGTCACGATATTCTTTCTGCAATCCTTTCCCAAAGAAGATCCCTGCTTCATGCAATTCTTCTTTGAGTTGAGCCTTGTTGACAAGCCCAGTAAATTTGGCAATATAAGCTTCAAGTTCACATTTGCCTTGCTGGATATCTGAGAGCCATAAGATGGCAAGGGTGGTCTGATCACCAGACTCGAAGGTAGCCTTCAACCTTTCAATGAACCTTTGAAAGGTGTTGGTGTAATAGATAGTACCATCAAGCATCTTGTTTTCATTTTGATAATTCTCAGTGAATGACACAGTTGCACCTTTGGTCATATAGGTGAGCGCAAACAAAATCTTGAGCAATTCCAAATTGTAGACATGCTTGTTCAGGTTCAAATAACCTTCAACCTGCATAATCCAGGTCTGAAGCCCATTGGGGCTTCTGTTGTATTGCTTCCATACATGTCATTGTCATCGGCTGGGGCCTTACCCTTACTGGACCCTCCAATGGGGACCTCTGGGGGAATTACCTTTCTGAAGTTTCTGTGATACCAATCGTGCAGGGCCAAGTCTGTAGGCATACCTGCTGGGAACAGGTCGCTAGTAGTTGCATGCATAGCCCAGTGGAGCTCCTCCACCATTGCGACTCTTTGTTCTTCCAGCCTCTGTCTCAGTTCCTCTTCCAAGAAGGTCCTTGAGGGCATCTCAGGAACCAAATCTCCATGACCAATTGTCATATACATTTCTTCTTGATTGCAAGCTTCTTGTTCTTCTTTGAGGACTGATCCAAAAGAAGTCTCAGACTTCTGATCATCTTCTTCTTCTGAACTAAGTGCAACTTCTGAATCCCTAAACTGGGATAGATAAGATAACTGAGGATTTGTTGCAGTAGCTGAAGACCAAGTCATCCTAAAGGAATTGGCAGTAAAGGTGGGTTCCTACCAAGTCTGAGGGGATTAGGTCAAGGAGGGACTGGCAGTCTAGACTTCTGCAGGTTAGACACTTTTATGGATAGTGCAAATGAAGGCTGAGGGAGGATTTATTTCTCAAAAGAAACCTGTCAGTGTAAGGGTTTGGTAACAGTTGCACAAGTGGCTTTATGCATAGGGAGACATGAGTGCTGACTCTAGGGAGGTGATCTATTAAAGCCTAGTGGCTGCCTGTAGAGCAGTGGATTTGATTGAGGGTAGAGGGGTGCTTCTCAATCTTGTTACTTGAGAGGCAGGACAAAGGCAAGTCAGTCTTTACATGTAGGGAGAGCAACAAGCCTGGTGCTTGAGTAGAGTTGGTTTGTTGAAGTTCAGTAACCAGGGATGAGTAGACTTTGTGCAAAGAGGTTGACAAGTCCCAAAAGCTGTGCTGAGTTTTTTGATTTTGTTATGCCTGAGTGCAGTGACTTCTTCAAATGGAATAGGCATGAAGCACATGAGGGGGAGTCTACAGGCTGAACATGTTGCAACCCCTATGGCTCAGTTATCCCCAAGGTCCAGCAGAGGTTTGCTCCTTCTGGTGAGTTCTTCTGAGATCACACGGAGGAGGGAACAAGGACAAAGGAGAAGGAAGTTAGCTGAGTTGCAAGCTATTGAAAAACTGAGGATACAAGGTAAAGTATGTGGGCTTAAATACCCCTAAACACAAGTACCGTACCAGTCGCATTGGGATGCATATCCACAGTAATCAATAGAATCAGTCAAATAAATAAAGGGAAATGAGTCATACAGTGTCATATGATGGGGGTAGTGAAGGGGACGAGGGCTGCACCGGCTGCACAATCAACATGCAGCAAGGAGCCAGACACCGGATCTATAGTACAACATACGAGCAACATAAATGAACCAGAATGAGTTAACTGGAGCAAGAAAGAGACATGTCATCCATCAGAGAGGGCAGTGGAATACTGGATCAGCAGGGAGGTGTGGTCTCCACAGGTATTGGAAATACTACAACAGCAGGAGATCTGAGTGATCCTGTGAGCATATGAGCCCCTAAGACAGCGACGATTAATAGAGACACAACAAGACACATGATGCACGTGACCACAAGAAGCTGAAAAAGGAAAGACCCCTGGCAGAGGCATAACAGCATGTGTCTGATGTGGTCTGTTCCAGAGTGGTTGCCAATGGTGTTAATCATGACTTACTATTTCTCAATGCTGGCTTCAATCTGTCACCCAAGTACCTTTGATCTACTACTGAGCATGTTGCAAGTCTTCAGTTTCCTTGCTAGGATGGTTGACAGCTTGCAAAGGACAAGATGGTGATGGGTCAGAACAGACATCTGCAATGTGCTCAAAATTCTCTGGTTGGAAGGCCACTAGAGATAGTAAGTAACCTACATTGCCTGTGTCCATAGGAACATATCACTATCAAGCTGCTCAACAACAAAAAATTTGTCATCATGTTCAGTGTCAGGTGCTAGAACAGCCCCTCAGATGATCGAGCACAATGGTATGAAGATGGACACAGCCTGCAGAACTGTCTTGACATGTTTGAGTCTGAGACCATGATCAATAGTGTGGGCTGGTCCGATCCTTGTCATGAAGGGTTGTGCCAAGATAAATTCCATGTTTCCTATGTCTGGAATGACACAGGAAAACATGCAGATGAGATGAACAAAGGTGGTTTCTGTCTCGGTGTATTGAATAAGTGCACAGTCATAGTGGGGCACACCAAAAAATGACAGGTTGCAGTGGAGATGATCTGTGCACTGGTTCCAAGTGACAGTCAACTCATAGTTGACCAGCAGATAACAGTATTCTTCAACCTTAGCACAAGCACAGTTTCAACTAGATGAATGCATAATGAGAGTGTAGATACATACCATGAAGTCAGTGGGGAGGGAGATCCATGACTTGACTTGATATCCATATGCCAGAAGGGCATCATTATGGAACTCCCAAAACCTTTGACAGAACCGATGGAATGCCATATCTGGCTGACCATTTTCCTCCAAGTCTTCCAGGGTTTGGGTCACAACAACATGTGCACCAAGCTTAATATGATCAACTGAAGTATGCTCACTGACCACATCAACTTCTGGATCTGATTCCCCAGAGATGGATTTCTCAAGGTGATCAACATGCAATCTGAGAAGCTTCATAGCAAGAACTTGATGATCTACCCACAAGACCTAACACACATTTTAAAGTGACTGTGAGTAGGAGTGTTGGCACACATGGTTGTCATACCTGAGCAGGAATGTCTCTACCATTTGAATGGTGTTCATATGCATCTTGGATTGGCTTATGCATACTTTCATTGGGCCAAGTGCTATAGTTGCATGCAGCACCCTTTAGGCGGATATCTCAAATGACATGCTTCCAGAGGTGGACCTTCAGGAAATTCCAGTCAGTTCACAGACCATCAATGTTGGACTTCATGATGCATTTGGTGTAGTCCTGAAAATGACACATTACAACAAATTGGCATGAGCACAAAGCATATAACTACCTCCAGTGTCTGATCAAATGTCAATATTTCATTGTTGATCATGTTAACCATATGTTCAGTCTGGACATCTAATAAGCTGACGAGGCTATCAAGCTGTAGGTAGCTTTGGATGACTCAGAGGAGCTGGTACCCTTCAGGGGTTATACTCTTCTTCAAAACATTGATCCCTGCATAGAAGATTTGCTAGGGAAACAGTTCATTGACAGCCATCTGGTATTGGACACACATACCTTGGAGATATCAGCCAGCTTGTTACCATCTGAAAAAGTGACATGAATAACTTGGTTGAAGTGTGTGAGGTTTTGCCAGTGAGGAAAACTTGCAACACTGTCATTGTCAAACATGAGAAGTGACAATGTTCAGAGTGATTGATTGTAAAACAGTGACCCACTACTTCTCAACGTTGGCTTTGATCTGTTGCCTGAGTGCCTTTACAATCACCTTTAGGTCCCCAAAGACATGCTTGCCCCAAAAACCATGCCCATAATGCAGTTGATCAAAGCTGCAGGCAAGGTGGAGATCAGAAAACCCAATCAGCCAGAACACATTCTGCATCCCATTATATATTAGTTCACTGATGGTGATTTGTTGGTGGAAACTTACTTCGATCAGTCATAAACCTAACCACTTCAGCAATTCATCACCTTCGGCTCGATTCATAGCACAAACACATAATGCATTGATGCCCTGGGCATGCATACAAGGTTCAAAAGTCCTAGAGAGGTCATGGAGTAGCTCTGACGGTACAAGACATACAGGGCAAGGGCATTTGCCACCGCAACCACAAGTGAGTGCCATCATGCATCTGTAGTAGGCCATTGAGTTAGTATCATTAGTCCAAGCAAGAAGAAGGAAGTATATTACATCTCTTCAAAATCAGTGGACAGCATCATAAGACTCAGAAAGAGCCAATGGGTAATGTTGTCGTGTGAAGATGTATGTATGTACCCAGTCTTCAAGTACTGCTCAATCTCCAGAAGTAACTTTTTAAAAGATTTGTGCCAAATGACATGCTTGAGGGTTGTGTAGCCTAGCTTTCCCTCTTCTTCAGCATCTTCAGGGACCTGAAATGTTCTTAGCCTATATGAATATCTAAACAGTGGACATCATTCACAATAGGCAGGCAGCCAACAACAGTACCTCTGCCAATGACATTGCCTATTCTGAATCTCAACTGGCAAGTTTGCACAGTGCACAATGATGGGGTAACTCCTGGCAGTGCCAAAAGATGATAGGTTGGTTTTGTCAGCATAAAGGATCAGGCCAAATGGCATGGCATTCTTGATATTTGGTAGACTTGACTAGCACAAATACAACATGTTATGTACAGGTAATGAATGACATATTGACCAGGCACATACTTGAATATCCCACCAATAATCTCCAGTCCAGGGCTCATTGTAAAAATGTTCATACTCAATGCCATTGTGCCTGTAAAGTCACTGTGTGTCCCAGGTGAAGTGCAGACCAAGGAATGGATTTTCTAAGATATTGAGTGCCCACTCCCACAGTGGGCAAATATGTGCTTCGAATGTACATTCTTCCTTTTTGTATGGTACCTTAACTTTGACCCTGGAGAACTATTTAGATAGGTAGGATGGATGGTGATGAATGGATATTTGAAAATCATACCAGAGTGAGTTCCATTGCAGCTGCATCACATGCTTTGCAAAGTTCAGCATCATTCTTGAGCACGACTTGGATGGCTCCCTGTGTGACACGAGCAAAGAGATCCAGCAGGGCATTGACTTGTTGCTGGTTGAGTAGTGAAGCGAGTGTGATTTCCACAAACTCAAAGTCACCCAATGTGCAAAATGGGGACCAAGGTGTTTTGTCAACTGGGGATGGGGACTTCTCACTGCAAACACAGAACTCTTCATAAGACTGATAAATCAGTGGTCGATTGCTTCTCAGATGAAATTGGATCCTGAATTCAGGAAGTTTTGCCACATTAGAACTTGTGGCAGTTGGCATCGACATGTCTGAGGGAATTATGAGCACTATGAGAATGTGTGCTGAAGTGAATATGTACCTGAGGCTTGGAGCATGTTACTCATCTCATTGTAATCTTGTCCCATGGTCACCTCGACTGCAGCCACAGTTTGTCTGAGACTAGGACCACAACATAAATGGAAATCAGACTCACTGGGTTCATTGACGAAAAAATATCCTGTATCTGTGTGGTGAGCTTTGGGCACTCAAGGCTGTGATTTGAGTACCAATGCTCTTGCAGCTCGATGGTGGGCAGCTGAGTTAATAATTGAAGCCAGAAACCATTACATTGGGTCTGCCTGCACTACACACCAATTCACATACCTCATTGTTTCTCTTCATACTGACATTTGAAAGCTACATGCTCCCTCTCATCTTCTTTGCACTTCCTGCAACTCACCTCATGCTACTTGAAACCAGTTTTCTGAAATTTCCTGTTACAGTGAGGGCATTGATGGAGAATGGCATGATTCCATTCAGCATTTTGACAGGTTGAAGCCAAACAGGTGGTATGGGAGGGAGCCATGAGAGAAGATGTATCATAGCTGGACTAGTTTGTCCTTTTGATCCCAGGTTCGGCTGATGTAAGACAATGTCACACCATATCAGTCATTATCAGATCGTTATCACTCGGTAACTCGGGTAACTCCTGTCCAATGAAATTTCTTTTGGCACTGCCCCTAAGCCGTTGACATGTCATTACCAGACCATTTTAATGACCCTAATAAGGAAATACGCGAGCATTGTCAGCCGGCGGCATTATTATGTGCCTCGAAAATTTGCGGACACAAGGTGGTGTCTCTGAAATATATTCCGCTGTATTACTTGCGCTACAATTACTCTAGCATGTGCACAGAGGGACGCAACTTGCTATCGCTGAAAAACTCCCTCCAGAGATCATTGTGATGATCCTTCGCAAGATACCTCGACTGCCTGTTACCATTAGACTTGCTCTCTTCAACCGTTCTCGCGTCTTCTCCCTTCCAGTTACACATCTTAGATGTTGCTCTCTGTTTCGGCCCCTCTCGTTTGCGTGTCTTGGCGCGGCCCAGCTACAGAAGTTCTGTACGAACGGATCATTCTACAGACAACGAAGCAGTGTGGAAATTCTACATCGCACCCTTCGGTCCAATCCCTTATTTGGAACATGGGTCAAGGTCCTACACTTGCCGCACAGCCGAAGAAAAGCGCCAACAGACCTTTCCTATATCGCAGCCAACACCGTCAACGTGCCACTGACTGATCGGTTACTGCAGCCTGTCCGCCGACATCTTTAAAGCTTGCGACTTGGTCCAGGAAATCGATATCGTAGCTGAGGCGAGCATCTCCTACTATTCGCAGGCGGACGTGATTTTAACCCAAGTTATGTCTCTGCGTTGTAGATTGATCTTTTCGCGGATCTGTCGGAGCGCACATATCTACGATCCATTCGTGTCACCGACGTAAACTCCATGCTTTGCAGCCCCAGACCAGCCCGATTTTTTGCTCTGCGAGAACTCACTCTCGAATGGGTTTCACTTTGGTAGTTCACAGACAAATTCGAGTGCCGACTCCATCTGGCCTGAGTTTTCGCAGCTCAGCGAAGCTTCGATTAGAACGCTGTATCCTCTTGGACGAGGATCTAACCCAGATATTACCACGGTCAAATGCAAGGTTGAAATGTCTTGAATTATTTGACACTCGTCACCCCTTCCGAGCGAATAACTTCGAGCTTCCAAATTTTCTAGCTGAATGTCTCGAAGAGCTCTGGATCGAGGATTGCTGGCCGTTTTCGTTTGAATCTTCCTTGCCATTGTATCAATCGTTACGAAGTGTTCATACCGATTGGGATGTTTTTACCAAGGCAGCACCTTTCCTTCCTATTGGTGTCCGGACCATATCCATTTCCGTGCCCATCTCCGCAGCAAGCAGCGCCCCAGACTATGGAAATTTGGAGGCGTCTTTGCAGTCAATATCAAAGGGACTTCCTTCACTCGAGACGGTCACGGTTTTGGGAGACAGCGAGTACCCGTTGCTACAGGACGCGTTGGGCCTGGAGAGGAGTTTAAACCTTGAAGGTGTCAGCCTGAGGGTAGAGTCTGTTCGGCGTGGTCGAGGCGAGCGGGCTTAGCATCGTCAGTACGCCATCGTGGCTTTCGTTACTCGAGTCAACGGAGTATCACACTGGTCAGATTTTGGATGCAACGTCTGGATGTCGTGGCACTGGAGCCGGATTGTGACAAGTAGTTTACTTATTTGAGCTGGAATCAGAGTTTGTCGATCGTTCAGATTATTTACCCTCCATTTGCGACATCTAGACCTTGGCTGGATGCATTATGTCGTCTCACATGGCGCCCCAATGTTCGTGTGACAAGGAATCAGTGGATACTATATATCAAACAACTAGGTATAGAAGTGCACACAAACATGGAAAGGGCGCCGGCGCCAGCTAACTCCTGGAAGGAACCAAATTGAGAGATATACGAGATCGAGAAAGAAACAAGATCGAAAGAAACTAAAGACCCGCCTAGCGTGCCGTCATTCCGGCCAAACCCATCATTCTGCTTTGCCTTCGACCTTCCTGGCAACGTTGTCCACGAGCCAGCGATACATGTCTTTGGCGTCGTAGTTCGAGTCGCCCGCCAGGATGCCCATGATTCCCCAGCCAATCTAGTAGGGAACTCGTCGATGAGATATGTAGAAGAGAATAACTGGGAGACATACAATGCCGAAGTGGCTGGTTTCGTCGCTTACAACACCGAGGAACTCACCCTACTCCAAGTGTTGAGCGAAATGAGGAGATGCTGAGACCCGTCACCACGTACCCATTTTGCGGAGTTGACAGCGACCATTCCGTCATTCTCTCCAAAAGCCTTGGGATATTTGGAGCTGGAGCCTTTCTTGATGAATTTATTGGAGATGCTGTCGTCCATCCCATGAGCCGCCAATTTGGCAGAAACAAAAGGCAGACGTACTAAAAGATGTGATTGACGAATGGCTGAAACTTCGACGTAACGCTGTAATACTTGATTCCCGGGACATTTTTGTAGCGAGCATTGAAGTTTTCCATGTGCTCCGGCGTCATATCATTCATGGCCTTTCCAGACCCCGACAGACAGCTAAGCAGGAGTTGGCACGACAATCTACTGACGAAGCCTGAAAAACCATGGACTCAGTGGAGACATCGATGGGGACGCGTATTGCCGCTCACCCAAGCTTTCGGACAACGAAGCGATGGGTGATCCGTAGTGGGGCGTCGATACCGTGGTGATGGACAGTACATTATATCTGAGTCCTGAAAAGTGGACCAGACGTCTGGCGTCGAGGCCACCCATACTATGGCCTGATTCGACAAAACATCAGGACCTGTACGAGAAAAAAAGGAAAAGGAGATGACTGACAAATGAGATGGAGGCCGGGCTTGGCCGAACTAGAACGGAGGTTAAGCAAGTCCTCGATCTGCAAGTCGAGCTGCTTGGCCCTCTCGTCGATACTGCCTGTCATGCTAACTTTCGGCACAATCACTTTGCAGCCTCGGCTGGTCAAATCATCCTTTACGCCATTGAAGTAGCTGAGACCCATCATGCTGTCGGTGCCGACGAATCCGTGACAAAGAACAATGTAGTTGTCGGTAGAGATATCTGTGGTAAGCGATATGTCGGTATGGCATCAAACATTTGGAGCAGCAACAAGGCGTACACGGCATTGTTACTTGAGTTGTGAGGATCGAAGGGGAAACTGTGTAGAGCAGGAGAAGTTTTCGTGGATGCTCTGCAACGGAAGGGAACGCTGCCTTTTAAAGTCGCAATGAGAGTAAAATCGCCCAAACGAGCCAAGTGTGTCTGCCAAGTGTTTGGGGTCTCAAACTACATAACTGCGAGCTGCACGGTGGTGAGTTGGAAACGACATCCTCATGCTAACATCGTGTAGTGGAATAACAAATAACTGCCGGTGGTAATAGGCAATCGTGAACCAGAGAAGGGGCAACTTAACTTCAGCTTTGAAAAGGGTACGGTTGCGAACTGCACGGCCGTGAATTGAGAGAAATGGAAATTTTTCGTGCCGACATCGTGTAATGGAGTTATCCCGAGATGGTAGTGGGCCATCATGAATCAGAGAAGGGACAACTTGACTTCAATTTCATCCAGGCTGCAACTGTGGATAGGGAAGGGGGAAACTAACCTTAACTCAGTAAAGGCTGCCACTGTGCGTGAACTGCACGACCGCGAACTGGAGAACAGCAAAACGTCCTCGTGCTAAGAGCGCCTATGATAAGCACTTCCGTGCAATGAGATTTTCTGCAGGAACATGAAGGCAGAACTTAACTTTAGCCTGGTGAAGGCTGCCACTGTGCGTGAACTGCACGAGTGTGGATTGGGTGCGATAAGTACGTTCCATTCGCATGGGACAACAGAGGCTCACTCGAATACGGCTCGCCGGCGCCAAGGGGATCTCCGGTTAGCGCGAAGAATTTACAAAAGACGCAGACTTGAATGTGAAGAACGTTACATTCGCAAGGGACTCGACAGAACCTTACCCGAATACGGCTCTCCGGCGCCAAATTCTCTTCGATTAGCGCGAAGAATTTGCAAATAGAAACAACATGCACTTGTCAAATATCAGACAACACAATTGCTACGCAATGCACACTCCCCCAATTTTGGTTTCGAAGTCGGGTATACTTCGCTCTGGGGTACATAGAGATGATCCAGTTCCATTGTACTCCCCGAATTCTGAACATAAAGCATTGTGAGAAGGAAACTTACTTAGTACGTAACGTACTTAGTACTTAGTACTTAGTTTGATATTGCGCACAGAATTACATAATATGAGCGCCCCGTGACCTGCCGTGACATGAACCGTCGTGGTGGCGGTGGCGGGGCCGTCTTTTCTCCGCACGTGACCATTCTCATTCATGGAAAGCACGCTTGTGCAATCATAGGTATGCCTAAATAAAGTAATAGGTGGTGAGCGAGACGGATCGCCTTGGCATTTTCATACTTCGGACTACTGGGGGACTTTCCGTAGCATAAATCATAAATGGAAACTCTTGCTTTCATTGCGGTCTATCGAAGAGAATTTGGCGCCGGAGAGCCGTATTCGGGTAAGGTTCTGTCGAGTCCCTTGCGAATGTAACGTTCTTCACATTCAAGTCTGCGTCTTTTGTAAATTCTTCGCGCTAACCGGAGATCCCCTTGGCGCCGGCGAGCCGTATTCGAGTGAGCCTCTGTTGTCCCATGCGAATGGAACGTACTTATCGCACCCAATCCACACTCGTGCAGTTCACGCACAGTGGCAGCCTTCACCAGGCTAAAGTTAAGTTCTGCCTTCATGTTCCTGCAGAAAATCTCATTGCACGGAAGTGCTTATCATAGGCGCTCTTAGCACGAGGACGTTTTGCTGTTCTCCAGTTCGCGGTCGTGCAGTTCACGCACAGTGGCAGCCTTTACTGAGTTAAGGTTAGTTTCCCCCTTCCCTATCCACAGTTGCAGCCTGGATGAAATTGAAGTCAAGTTGTCCCTTCTCTGATTCATGATGGCCCACTACCATCTCGGGATAACTCCATTACACGATGTCGGCACGAAAAATTTCCATTTCTCTCAATTCACGGCCGTGCAGTTCGCAACCGTACCCTTTTCAAAGCTGAAGTTAAGTTGCCCCTTCTCTGGTTCACGATTGCCTATTACCACCGGCAGTTATTTGTTATTCCACTACACGATGTTAGCATGAGGATGTCGTTTCCAACTCACCACCGTGCAGCTCGCAGTTATGTAGTTTGAGACCCCAAACACTTGGCAGACACACTTGGCTCGTTTGGGCGATTTTACTCTCATTGCGACTTTAAAAGGCAGCGTTCCCTTCCGTTGCAGAGCATCCACGAAAACTTCTCCTGCTCTACACAGTTTCCCCTTCGATCCTCACAACTCAAGTAACAATGCCGTGTACGCCTTGTTGCTGCTCCAAATGTTTGATGCCATACCGACATATCGCTTACCACAGATATCTCTACCGACAACTACATTGTTCTTTGTCACGGATTCGTCGGCACCGACAGCATGATGGGTCTCAGCTACTTCAATGGCGTAAAGGATGATTTGACCAGCCGAGGCTGCAAAGTGATTGTGCCGAAAGTTAGCATGACAGGCAGTATCGACGAGAGGGCCAAGCAGCTCGACTTGCAGATCGAGGACTTGCTTAACCTCCGTTCTAGTTCGGCCAAGCCCGGCCTCCATCTCATTTGTCAGTCATCTCCTTTTCCTTTTTTTCTCGTACAGGTCCTGATGTTTTGTCGAATCAGGCCATAGTATGGGTGGCCTCGACGCCAGACGTCTGGTCCACTTTTCAGGACTCAGATATAATGTACTGTCCATCACCACGGTATCGACGCCCCACTACGGATCACCCATCGCTTCGTTGTCCGAAAGCTTGGGTGAGCGGCAATACGCGTCCCCATCGATGTCTCCACTGAGTCCATGGTTTTTCAGGCTTCGTCAGTAGATTGTCGTGCCAACTCCTGCTTAGCTGTCTGTCGGGGTCTGGAAAGGCCATGAATGATATGACGCCGGAGCACATGGAAAACTTCAATGCTCGCTACAAAAATGTCCCGGGAATCAAGTATTACAGCGTTACGTCGAAGTTTCAGCCATTCGTCAATCACATCTTTTAGTACGTCTGCCTTTTGTTTCTGCCAAATTGGCGGCTCATGGGATGGACGACAGCATCTCCAATAAATTCATCAAGAAAGGCTCCAGCTCCAAATATCCCAAGGCTTTTGGAGAGAATGACGGAATGGTCGCTGTCAACTCCGCAAAATGGGTACGTGGTGACGGGTCTCAGCATCTCCTCATTTCGCTCAACACTTGGAGTAGGGTGAGTTCCTCGGTGTTGTAAGCGACGAAACCAGCCACTTCGGCATTGTATGTCTCCCAGTTATTCTCTTCTACATATCTCATCGACGAGTTCCCTACTAGATTGGCTGGGGAATCATGGGCATCCTGGCGGGCGACTCGAACTACGACGCCAAAGACATGTATCGCTGGCTCGTGGACAACGTTGCCAGGAAGGTCGAAGGCAAAGCAGAATGATGGGTTTGGCCGGAATGACGGCACGCTAGGCGGGTCTTTAGTTTCTTTCGATCTTGTTTCTTTCTCGATCTCGTATATCTCTCAATTTGGTTCCTTCCAGGAGTTAGCTGGCGCCGGCGCCCTTTCCATGTTTGTGTGCACTTCTATACCTAGTTGTTTGATATATGTATCCACTGATTCCTTGTCACACGAACATTGGGGCGCCATGTGAGACGACATAATGCATCCAGCCAAGGTCTAGATGTCGCAAATGGAGGGTAAATAATCTGAACGATCGACAAACTCTGATTCCAGCTCAAACAAGTAAACTACTTGTCACAATCCGGCTCCGTGCCACGACATCCAGACGTTGCATCCAAAATCTGACCAGTGTGATACTCCGTTGACTCGAGTAACGAAAGCCACGATGGCGACTGACGATGCTAAGCCCGCTCGCCTCGACCACGCCGAACAGACTCTACCCTCAGGCTGACACCTTCAAGGTTTAAACTCCTCTCCAGGCCCAACGCGTCCTGTAGCAACGGGTACTCGCTGTCTCCCAAAACCGTGACCGTCTCGAGTGAAGGAAGTCCCTTTGATATCGACTGCAAAGACGCCTCCAAATTTCCATAGTCTGGGGCGCTGCTTGCTGCGGAGATGGGCACGGAAATGGATATGGTCCGGACACCAATAGGAAGGAAAGGTGCTGCCTTGGTAAAAACATCCCAATCGGTATGAACACTTCGTAACGATTGATACAATGGCAAGGAAGATTCAAACGAAAACGGCCAGCAATCCTCGATCCAGAGCTCTTCGAGACATTCAGCTAGAAAATTTGGAAGCTCGAAGTTATTCGCTCGGAAGGGGTGACGAGTGTCAAATAATTCAAGACATTTCAACCTTGCATTTGACCGTGGTAATATCTGGGTTAGATCCTCGTCCAAGAGGATACAGCGTTCTAATCGAAGCTTCGTGAGCTGCGAAAACTCAGGCCAGATGGAGTCGGCACTCGAATTTGTCTGTGAACTACCAAAGTGAAACCCATCGAGAGTGAGTTCTCGCAGAGCAAAAAATCGGGCTGGTCTGGGGCTGCAAAGCATGGAGTTTACGTCGGTGACACGAATGGATCGTAGATATGTGCGCTCCGACAGATCCGCGAAAAGATCAATCTACAACGCAGAGACATAACTTGGGTTAAAATCACGTCCGCCTGCGAATAGCAGGAGATGCTCGCCTCAGCTACGATATCGATTTCCTGGACCAAGTCGCAAGCTTTAAAGATGTCGGCGGACAGCTGTAGTAACCGATCATCAGTGGCAGTTGACGGCGTTGGCCGCGATATAGAAAGGTCTGTTGGCGCTTTTCTTCGGCTGTGCGGCAGGTGCAGGACCTTGACCCATGTTCCAAATAAGGGATTGGACCGAAGGGTGCGATGTAGAATTTCACACTGCTTCGTTGTCTGTAGAATGATCCGTTCGTACAGAACTTCTGTAGCTGGGCCGCGCCAAGACACGCAAACGAGAGGGGCCGAAACAAGACCAACATCCAAGATGTGTGACTGGCAGGGAGAAGAGGCGAGAACGGTAGAAGAGAACAAGTCTAATGGTAACAAGCAGGGTAGAGGTATCTTGCGAAGGATCATCACAATGATCTCTGGAGGGAGTCTTGCAGCGATAGCGAGCTGCGTCCCTCTGTGCACATGCTAGAGTAATTGTAGCGCAAGTAAGACAACGAAATATATTTCAGAGACATTACCTTGATGCGAATCCCCACCTCGGACGGTTGCCTCTCTGATTTGAAGAACGACATGAGATACCGGAGCATTACTATTGGCACGATTTGGATGACAACTCGAACTCGTGCGAGACTAATATTAATGAAAGATAGCGTGCAGTGCATCACTGCGAAAGTCCTAGAATACTTGAGTCTTAAGAAATAACAATCTCCGGGGACTCGTCGGTAGCTCACCATCGTACCAATTTTGGAAGTCTGGCGCTCCGATTTGAAGAAAGAGTAAGCGATGTTGGCATAGCAGGGGGTTTGACAGCCTTTGTGGAGGTACGACGGGACGTCATCCTACTAATAAGTACCTACTAGTGTGTGCATCTGTTTGGTACCCTAGAAGTTTCACACCCCACCTATCGAAGTTGGCCAGAACCAACAGCTCCTCGCAGTTCCAGTGCTTCTCAAGCAGCTCGCTATAGACCGCAAAGCTTATCTGCTCTGCGCCGCTTGGGTTTCCCTTGGACCTGTCGACGTCTTCATGCCCAATCCGTCCAAATATGCCTGAACATATGCGAATGAGTCCCTACGATGGATCCAAATACTTTGACCATGTTCGCAGTACGTACATATAAACCGTGCTTAGCAGGTTCCTGACTTTAGGACCAGCGCTATTTTTGCTATTCCCTACGATTCAGCACAAGCCGTCGGGCGTCGAGGCAATGGGGCTGACAACAAGCATGAGCCACCTCGGAATCCCCCCAACTTGTGTGCGTCACGGGCAGTGTTTTCAAAATACATTTACACCACATGGGGGGCGTGAACCGCTGTCGAGTGTGTTAGCACTGCATAACCACGGTGCACCTTTCTGCTTCACTCTTTTGTCAGACACGTAGCACCCACCTTTACGAGCTGCCTACGCCTCAGCACAAGGCATCTGGTGTTAAGGCATCAGTGGAGCTGACTCACTATCGCCCCTACAGCGACCTTTACGGGTGCCTATTCGACGTCGAGGTATTAATAGAGCTGACTGGCTACTACCCCTATACGAGTTGCCTAGGCCTCAGCGTAAGGCGTTAGGCGTTAATGGCACCGACTGACACCCACCCCTGAGCCGACCTTCACAAGTTGTCTACGCCTCAGTGCAAGGCGTCCGGCGTTGAGACAATGGCACTGACTGACTACCACCCGCACACACGAGAACCGCGTTTTCACTTTGTGCGTGGACGCTTTCGTGAGTGTACTAGCGTTGTATGTACCTTTCCGTGACAGTCTTTTTATCAGATATATTTCCTGATGCGAAGTTTTATCGAAGGGGTTAGCCGGATAAGATCGCACAGTAGGAGAGTGACCTGTGAACGCTACAAGCTATGGGATCGAGTCTGAAGGCCTAGCTTTAGGACAAACCTAGGACCGCCTATGCACCTACGTTCGTTCAACACAGCGATCCCAAGTTACGGTATTAGTCGGTATCGGGCATGATGAGCTTCGCTCATTGGGAGCCACTCGGCAACCTTCGAAAGTCTTATGAATCACTACGGCCATTTCGAACACCTTCATGAATGCTCAGTAACTCGCCGCTCTCCTGCACCTTTTGCTGAGTCCAGTGTCGTGACGGAGCTGGTGGCAACCGAATCCGGGCTCGCACTCGTGTTTTTTTTCCTCGATATGCTGAACAAGGCTGAATTGTTCGTACCTGTTTTCGTGTCAACTTTCTCACTCGTGGTGGGATACTTGAGTATGAGTTCGGTTTCTCAAGGCTGAAAGTCTTAGCCTTCGCGGGAACTATTACTAGGCACTATCGCACCACACATTCACGACATCGAACAGGTTCGCTCATTTCCAAAGCCTCCCGACGTCCGTGAACGACCGTGTAATTCCCACTCACGTCCCATACACCAAAGGTTTCCTTTTCATTTCGTGTCAGTACGGCGAAGCTTCAGAGGTCATGGATTTCGTCCTGGTGATTACCCGCGGTACTTACATCTAAATATCTTTTGTCGACTCTTCGAGGTATCTGTCACACAAGGTCACTGCGACATCGGCAATTCAAGTATCAAAACTCTTGCAAACGCAAATCTCGCTGTTTGACCGCACGATCCACAGAGGACATACTCCTGGAAATTCACGCCTCTTAGAATCCGGATTTCGTGTGGCAGGTGAAGCCTCTATATCGTATTTTTGCAAAAGCATTTTATATCAGGGGGCATTGAGGCTGTTCAGAAGGTCGCTGGGATATTGAGAGTCGAAGAGTGAAGGTATGGATCTGTGAATGCGAGGGAAGCGGAATAGGAAGGGGACTTCAGTGCGTCGTAATTGGAGGTACGGTCGATTGATGTAATTGAATGTTTCTCCGCTGCAGATTTTTAGGGTGAGTATGTCCCTGGGGCTCGAAAGTCGAGCGTGACGCAGTATAGGTACAGGCGATGATTTACTATTTACAAAAAAGGACATCCTCACAAGTTTACGAGGTTCTGCCTGCTTGTCACTAGCTTCCTGTGACATAGGCTGTCGCTTTGACTCCCAAGCTCATATGTTCCGTGCGCTGCCGCAGCGAAAACAAAGTATAACATAGAGCCTGAATACACGACTTGCTTAATATGTGAAAATGGGGGACAGCAGGTAAATGTGAGTGTACAGGCTACCCTTGGCCTGGTCCTTGCGCATGCAAGTTCAGTGCCTACTGGCCATCCAAGGATACCCATGGTCGGAGGATTCCATAGACGTCATGAAGAGAAGTCTACAAGAGACAAGGAAATGGGTTTGCGCTTCGCATGCACGGATGGAACACGTACTGGATCAGATGTGCGCACAGTCAAATTAAACATCAGTGGAACGTTCTTCAATTCTAGTAGGCAATACTCATGTAGCGAGTTGTACAATGAGATCAACCATCGGCCATTTGGTAGACGCGCAGCATCGAACTTCGACAATGTCACTTGCAAAGCGGGTCGGCCCTCGAGTCTTCGAGCGCGAAGCCATTCCACGAACCTAATTCCGGGATGGTTGTGGTCGACCATTTCGAGGGACAAGTGCTCGAGGTGCGTCCAGCGGTCTGCAATGGACAGAGTGCCACCTTCCTGTTCCGCTAAGCAAAAGGCCTGGAATGCAGGCACGTTCACTTCTATATGATGTACACCAGGAAACGTCGCACAGACAGCTGCAGCGTCGCCAATGTCCGCACCGTTAAGAGAGCTCCTAGGATGCCGAAGGCAGAGATGCTGAACGTTTGGGAACTTATCCGAAAGGTCCGTGAATATTCCCGACCATCTGGTGGTGAGCTGCAGAGGCGAGTAGGCGAAATAACCGAGGTTTGGGGCCACAATGGCCGCCAAAAATGACTGGGGATCCTCGAGCATGACCGTCAGAGACTCGAGAAGTGGCAAGTGGATACTGTCAAGAGGTAGGGCTCCACAGCTTGATCCAGTCATTGTGAGCATTCGAAGTGACATTATCGATGGCAAAGGTGCTGTCAATGGAGAACACCGCAGCCTAAGGGATTTGAGGCTAGCAGCAACCGAGAAGTTATCAAGTCCGATGTTATTCCCAAGGTCCAAATATTCAAGTGCATGAGCATTTCGCGAATGCAAAAATGGTGGATAGTCCAATTTTTGTGTCACATATATGGAGACATGTTTCAAAGAGGGAAACATCACGTTCCAAACGCTTTTGATGATGCCTTGTTCCACGTCTTTGTTGTTATTCTGAATTATGAGGCTACGCCAGCGGTATCCACAAGAGATAACGAGACCAAGAAGTTCAAAGAACTTCGGCAATTGGTCCCGGGAAAGCCACCACCGTATTTGGATGTTGAGTGGACATTCACGACTTCTCTTCACGTACACTCTCATGAGAGAGGGAGACCATGAGGGACATATCGCAATAGTGGTCCAGAAACCTGGAGACGTCAAAATCACGTCTCTCCAACGACGTGACACACTAGCCAACCGCCTCTTGGCGCGTAGTGGGGCACCATCCAGGAGACCATATTCATCGTCTGCCAAATGGATTATCTGGTAAAGAACTGTGATAGGAAGACGGTTAATAGAGGGTTTGGTAACGTGCTTGAGAAGTTGGTCGATCCTGTTCCTCTGCACCTGAACAGCAGTGCGAACGTTTCGAAGGCGTTCGAACAGTTGCCGTTCTTGCTCTTCCAACAGTGTCAGTTCGGCTCGGGCTTCAGCAAGATCATCCATAGATGCGTCACTGTGATAGTAATTACTGTCAGTGTTATCTACGGGAAGTTCAAAGGATGATGAGACCTGAAGCTGAAAACTGAAGTAAAGCGCGTGATTCGAGTGACTGACGAAGGAGGCAGTGCGCCACGCCCATACGGAGGGCCGGTTCGCTTACTGTCGATTCTTACGTTTGCTACCGACAGTCACGTGGCGCTACAAGTTCTTTGGTCTCGTAGCCCATGGCCCAGGAAATTCTATTCCTGGTGAGGGACCTCAAGATTGCATATGCGAGGTCACTGGGACTGCCTGGTGGTTCATTGTCAACCACTCTGATGCATCCCAACACTTTTCGACCGTGGTCATAGTACGTACGTCATACATACGTGCTCCGGTAGACACTAACGGTTTCAACACCATTTTTCTATTCCCTACACTTCAGCTCAAGGCGTCCCGCGTTGAGGCAATAGGACTGAAAACGACCTGCGTATAACGTGAACCACGTTCAAGTCCTAGCTGCCGATTACGTCAGTGCTATATGGCTGTGGTGCACACTCATTTATCAGACGCTACCTTGACGCTGAGCTTTAAAGAAAAATCTTGTCGTCTGAGATTATACAGTTGGAAGGTGACCCAACTGGGTATTTCGTCGGCACAATGTTACTTGTTTTGAGCACCAGCTGTTACAATATAAGTAGGTATCTTCCACGATGCGTCAAACGTCGTGGCCCTCGTTGCCTTATGTGATTTCAGAATGCTAGGAGGACGGCATCCTTCAAAAGTCTTACGAAATACTACGACCATTCGAACACTTTCATAACTGCTTAAGACACCGATTTAACTTTGCTATCGTACACACGAGACACATGCGGGCGACGCTGTCTTTTCAATTCTACCCTGTTACGGTGAGGACATCCTTGCCGACCCGCATCTTCGACCCTTCCAGGGGTCTACCATGTTGCTCAATCGGAATCACGGTCAGGCCAGGTCGGAAGATGACGCGGTGGGTAGATCCTCCGAAGTGGAACTTGCCCAACTTAATACCTTTCTCGAACCTCCGATCCTGCCGAACAACCATGTTGCAGGTAGACACCTCACCCAAGCCAACACCCACGAAGCACATTGGGCCAACGGGCTCCTCATCAATGCACGTGTGGATGTGTTCAAGACAAAGTCCTGCGAACGGGAAACGACGTCCTGATCCCTTTTTGTTATCGTCCAAGCAAGCAGCATAGTAGGTTGGATGTAGATTAGCGTGCGCCGCGCCCGAAATAAGGCGTATCTCCACGACAGTGACTTTCACAGGGTTGCGCCAGCGGTGATAGTCAAGAGATCCAAGCATAGCCTGTAATAGAGTCCCCCCCACAACTTGAAACTGATCTGCAAGCATGTGGCTGAATGGGTAAGCACGTTCCCTTTGGAGGCGACGACGAAGTCGCTCTACACTCATCTTCCCCTATGCGATCATATCTACAAGCATCGTGATCGTGCTCCTTGCCTCTGGCCTGGATGTTCCAAGGTATTGCATTGGGGAAACGTCGTCCATCACATTATAGAACGTCTTCTTCGTGTGAAGATACAATGCAAATATTGCGTAAAAACGTACAAAAGAAATGGGGATTTCAGAGCCCACACGAATGGTTGTGTTGAGGTGATCTTTTCACATGTTCATTTGAGGAATTGTCAAATTGATCTCCTCCGGATTGACACAGCAACTTAACGCAAAGTCAGCGGAAGGTGCCTACATGCCTCACACATGTGAGGTCAATTCGACGAGGAAGTGGACGGTCGCAAGGTCGCACTTTGTTGGCGGTAGACTACTTGGTTAGTGATGACACAGTTTATACTACAAACCCTTTCCAAGCCCTTGTCATGTGTATACCACCGTGTGTTAAGACGGGAATCACCTAGATCCGCCTTCACCAAAGAGTATGGATTATAATCTGCGCGATTAGGGAACGACGAAACACCCATCCATGAGGAAAGGGTACGAACACACGTATGTGGTTACAGAATTCGTGATCATCGAGCGAGGACCTAGGACGCACAGCTCCGACACCAGTACCAAAGGCACACGTTCGCATCACAGAAATCAGGAATATACCATCCATTTGCGCCCCATGACTGCACGTCAGTGCCTCCAGACCAATACTTAGAGACATAATTAACTGACCATTGTATAGGCGATATAAGTACTTGGCGAGTTTACATATCTGTATCGGATAACTTCGACCCGACATCAAACGCGCAGTCCCGTGTTAATGAAAGCTGTCCAAATGATGAAAGGTCGAGGATTATGAGTCTCCGACTGATTTGCGGATGGCCCCACGTACCAGGTGGTACTCCCAGATTGGAGATATCCAGACGGTACAAGAAACAGCACGGTTCAAGCACGGCTTTACTATTCCCTATTCCAAACACGCCTCCCCTCGGGTGAACAGTCCCTTAGTTTCTTCTGGTTACGAGAGAACGATAACAGGGAACGAATGCGGCAGCAATCCTTCTGCGCGGGAGAACTGGTGAATCATGAAGTATGTCTGGGCTAGCCAGAGTGCATCGTTCCGATCGTCTGTATTTCGGATTGGGCAATTAAGCAGAAGAAGATTCAATTTGAAGTACTCGTCCTCGAGGATTTCGTCGCCCCAGAACGAAGCCGTCCCGTACAGATGCTGCATCAATGCGTCATTCTTCCACAGCCTCATCCCGTCGACCATTCCCCATTCGCCATCTTCCGATTCTCCTCCCAATTCTGAGTCGTGAAAGACATCCGCCGTGTGATTTGCGGGTGGATGACGACTGATGCTGCGTTTGGCAGGCCGATGATGCCTCAGGGACGATCTTGGAGAGTTATGAAGCCTAGAGCAATTCAGGTCCAAAGCATATGGATAGGCATTGCTCATTTCGTCGGTGAGAGCTCACTATGTGTTGTGGGCCTAGGGAGAAAGACGAGCCGATCGAGCTTCGGTTCTGGGCCACCGAAGGTAAGTGCGGGACTGCGAAGACAACAACTTGATTACTAGGCAACGAACGACAATCTATGATTAATATTGCTGATTTATGCTGGTGTGCTTCAGTTCCCCATTATATGTACTTGCAACATCTGAACTTTCATGCAAGCTGTGGTAGACTTCAAGGTGAAGGTTAGTGGCCACAGACCCTGGTATCTCTCTTGTCATCGGCACCCAACCCATCACCTATTGGTCGGTCACCAATGAGATGGTGGTGGACGCTGCTCTGATATGATGCCGACGTACCTGCGATGCCCTGTTGAACGCAGTACTTGATAGTTCCTTTTTAAGCTTCTCACGCACCGGAAGTGTGTCAAGCAAAGTCTGTCGATGTTCATTATCGGTATGATGATGATACAGGCCTGAAAAAGAAACTCACGTTGGAGTAGATTCGACCAACTGGAACGCCGAACATGCCATAGAAGTTTGCATTTGGAAGCAGCAGGAAAGTGATCAACTCGCCCAAGGAGAATATAATTGCAAACAAGCCGGTTTGGATAGCCCCGCGTATCAAACGCCTGAGCACGCTGTCCGTCGTGGGCAAACCCGACTTCGCACGAGCGAGAATAATAGATAATGTAACTAGGAGGTGTGACAAAAATTGGTGGCAAAGTCATGGGACGGGACACAGATGCTGACCGGTTAAGAATGTGTCCACGATCACTTGCATCACAATCCAGGCTGTCGCAAGGCCATTGATACGTGGCATATCAGCAAGCCTGAGGAAAAATAACCGTGTCAATATCATTCTGCACGGCAATCGGAACAAGAACAACCTACACATGGATGAACCATGCTTCGATACCACAAGCTATTCCAAGACCAAATGTGGGGAGAGCCATCGTGATGACAATACCGTACATTACTTTGTTGTGGGTAAGGCGGTATATCCTGTGCCAACGACTGTAAGCAGCTTGGCAACGCTGTTGTGGACACATACCGGTCACCGAGAAATGTTTGTGTTACAAGTGCAGCAGCAGCAGTTAGTCAATGTAATGGAAGAGCGGGTGACAACTCCTCACACTGCAATGTGGTTGGATTTGTGTAGTTCGCAACCCTAACAGGAGATTTGATACCCCTTGAAGCATGAGAGGGCCCAGACGCACATGTACACCCAAACCATATAGATTAACCTGAAGAACACTGTGAGGATGCTTACTGACGCAGCCCCTACCACATGAGACTTACGCTATACTATGAACTATGTCAAGGACGAGCAAGAATGCCACCACACATCTGCGAATAGGACGTGAGCAAGAGCAGCATATCAGCGGGGAATGACAAAGACTTCACGGCAAGTCGATCGTTGAAATCTATGGGTAAGATATGGGTGATGGGAACGCCTGTAACAGGAATTGTACTCACCCGCTCGGTAATATAATGCGAATTGGTATGTGACGATCCCATACAAATAGGTATTGACTTCAGTGGTGGGCGGTCAGCATTGCAGTAGGTATTACAAATAGAAACATGGTACGCACAAAGAATCCCTATTAGAAGAGGACCTGATTGTGTCAACTTGATCAGCTCGAAAAGCTAAACAGGATAGCCTACCTAGAATCTGGTCATGTGGGCCCATGGGGGAAGACTGAGAAACAACGAACTTGAGCCTAGCGAAGAACCTCTGTGTCTGGCCTTACTATATTCTGCCTCAGGCTCGACAACCCTAGGCGCTGTAAACTTTTTTTCTTCACTGATGCGGACTTCCAGCTGTCATACAAACCCCTCGTGAGGCTAACCTAGGCTAACCAATATAATTGTTATCGTCCCGAAATTGTTCGGATCCGTCGTGCATACGTGAATGCATAGTGGTGTTCAAGTTTTTGTAAACCATAGTCGAAGGACTGAGTAGACTAAATACAAGTTATGTCTAGTACCAATACCTAAATTGATATTTGATACTGGAAGGTGACATGCTGAGCGAGACATCAGTGTGTTGGTATAAATGAGCTGCCAGACTGGACACAAAAAAGGTAATCTTCAAGACCACTATACATTGATCTTTACTAGCAACTACTCGTGGCTTTACTTGAGAGAAACAAAAATCGAGTTTCTCGATCAAGTTGTTCTTCTCTTCTTGTTACCCCAACCATAATTCCTGGATGCTGTTAGGCCCAGGTCTGTAAACTCTTTGTCAGGGTTGATCATGCCAGGCTGACCTCTGGTCATGTGTCAGGGGTGGGAACTCTGGGGTTAACTTGATTCATGATAGGGATTTTGTTGATGTACATTGTGTCTAGCAGACTACATGGAGGCACATGGGAGATTGTGCACATCTCATGGACAGTGGCATGTGCCACTTGTATATTGATGTTACTGGAGTCAGTGATGGTTCTGTGCTCTCTTATGAGTTCCTGTGGTGAGAATATGCATTTGAGTGTGTTACTGTGTATGATGATTTTTGTGCTGGGTCAGCAGACCTTGAAGGCTCCATGCTGGTATGTTGTGCAGACTCTGTTTGCAAGCTTGTTGAACAATATCTGTATTTGACATTGAAGCAACTTAGAGCTATTGCTGGTCATCACAATTTGGTTCTGCATAGTAGCTTGCTTTGAGTGATGTGTGTTGATGCACTACACAATCATCATTGTATGGTTTCCTGTCCTTTGCTGGTGTATGTGTTCCACCAGAGAGGGCATGTTTGTGGCTCTTTGTCATTACACACCCCACCCATCCACCACATTATAAATGACTGCTCATATGCCACCCTCTCCTGCCCCATAATCCATTAACTGATGCCTTTGAACTATGATGCTATGACATTGCATCTGTAACATTAAACAAACAAAAATAAAACACCTGATTGTGCAACTTTTGCAGTACTGCTCCTGTGCAACTTTTTATACTACCCCTGCATAATTTTTAACACAGCCACTTTGCACCACTTTGCACTAGCTAGGAGGGCAGATAAAATAGATAAACATAGGCAGGATGTGAGCACAGTTCATCAGCACCCTCCCCAGTCATCCTGCCCAATCCATGAGGCCATGATGCTCCACAGGGCCTGCTTGAACACTTGACCCCCTCCCCCACCCCTCCCACCTGATGGCAGCAAATTCCCATGGCATTGCCACCTGCAAATTCATGTGACTGCACTCTGCACCACAAGTCATCACTGGTCTAGTGAATTTGGGCCTGTTTCTTGGCAAAATACCCATTATTACATGGGTTATTTACAGTAGCATTGAAATGAGTCCTGAGGAACAGGCAAGGAGTGTGTGTAGCCCTGACTTGCCTGCTCCCCCATGCACATGCCCTGCTTAGTCAGTAGCTGTGGGCACAGCCACCTGCAAATTTTCTGTGCATTACTGCAAAAGTTGCACAATCAACTGTTTTATTTTTGTTTGTTTAATAGGGGAGCTCAGAGTTGCCACTTTTTGTGCTTGTGTTCACTTTCACTTTCACTGTTTGTCACATGACCCTACTTAGCACAAGTAAATAATTTTTAATACTGGTTAGGAAATTTGATGGGTTAGGGTAATCACTGTGTGCCCTCAGACACTTGCCTGCTCCTCCCTCAATGGCCAAGAAGCCCAAAGTGACCTTGCCACCCATCACATGGGATGCCAATGACCACACACTTGTTTGGTGACTAATATCAGAGATCACACAGCCTCAAAATCTAAAGGTTTTGTGTGGTAAGTCCAAGCATGAGGTAAGTGACCCACTAGCCATACCTACTGCATTGCTAACATGGAATTGTATGTAGAACACTTCAGGCAAGATGAAAGCCAGCATTTTTTGGCACATTGGCTCTGTCCTGCTGCTTGAGCTGTACAGCATGGATGCTGCAACCACCAGGGATCAGATTAAACACAAATATGAAGGGTATGTCAAGTTTAGGTTACTAGATGAGACTAATCTCTCTTGTAGGCTCATGAAACTGTACAAGCAGCATGTGAAGAAGCATGCTATTGCTGGGGAGGGCATTGGCACTGATGCTGAGGATGGTATGGATGTAGAGACCTGTACATACTTCATTGAGGCTACTGGGCCAAACAAGGGCACTCCTACAGAAGCAAGAAACATCTGGGGTAAGTACTTTCACATGTGCCCTCATCAAGCTAAATCATTATCATTCTAGATGATATTATCTCAGTTCCCTTTCTTCCCTGATCTCCATTGCATCTGGGCTATGAAACCTAACAAAAACCCCATTGCAGTCACTATGGGTGTTGGGCCCTCCAGAAAGAGGGCACTGATCATGCAACCTCTTGCAGCTACTGATGAGACAGCTGAGCATGATGATGATCTTGGGTTGACTGACTCTCAGTGCCAGGAGATCCAGACTTTGCAGGATGCACTGGATGTGGCCCAATGATCTGCTGTCCAGAAGGAGAACCTTGCACCCCCCTCTTCTCAGTCGCAGCCTACCCCTGTTACCCCTCTGCATGCCATGCCATGGCCATCATTGATATCACAGGAGAGTGTTCTCAAGGCCAAGGAACACATTCAGAAGGTGACAAAGAAGTGTACCATTGAGGATACACTGATGGACATTCACAAGTAAGCTTTACCCTTTGCTTTGGTCATATTTCTCATGTACATTCCAGGTCAAATACTGATGCCATCAATGCTCATATTCAGGAGGAGCTGATCATCAAAAAGCACCAGCTGCTTTTGGAGGAGTTCAGAGCAGATGTGTGGGATTGGGAGGAGTATCAAGAGGAGTTGAGGAAGTTGGAGGGTGGTGAACATCCTGGAAAGCAAGCTCAACAGTACTCTCCTGACTGGAACTTGGATTTTTGACCTTTGTCACTCTTTATCACTTACAGTAGTCACTCCTGGCTGGAACTTGGATTTCTGACCTTTGCCACTCTTTGTCACCTACAGTAGTCATTCCTTTGCTTGCATACTTAATTGATCTCTTTGGGTTAATGTGGTTTACATATTCTGAAAGGCAAATAATTCCTCCACTAGCTCTTTGTGTTTGGCCTCACCCTCAGGATTAACCCTCTCTGGAAACTCCTCATGTGGTCCTCTGTCCTCCTCCTCCTCTTCCCTTCCATGTTGTGAGGCAAAATATGCACCATGTCTTCCACCCTCCACTTTAATCAGATTGTGCAAGACAATGCAAAACAGAGATCCATTGGCAGGCAGCAATGTGGTTGTGAATTAGAGTTGATATTCACCTGAAGACCATGAAGGCATTGAAATCA